AGGAGAATTTGATTTTCACTTCGATTTCATCAAGGTAGTCCAGACATCTGGCGAGTCACAGTAACTAACACAGAGCTAGCCCTTTGCAAATGTCCAACAGATGTTGGCTGGAAGTTGTGATTAAATACCTCTAAGTATCTTGAAGTATTATCCTGATTTCTGAAGAAATTAGAAATTTCTTCACACCCATTAGGGCGTGGGTAGAATTGCTGGGGGATGTGCCTCCAAATCCAGATTTGCTTCAGATTCATCCAGATGCCAGGCCTGGAGATCTACACCCCTTCAGCAGTGTCCTTGAGCCTCTGCATTTGCATCCAGTATCGTCAAGGGATGTGTTCCTTAGGAGGCCCTGGGCTGTATAAATTAGGCAGACCAGTGATCGCCTTGGTTATGAATATAACTGTTGGATTAAGGTTCTATGCTGGGTGCATTATTTGTTTCTGCAAACCGGAGCTGGGCTGATTGGATTTCTCTTTCTTTTTTAACATAAGAAGATTCTGAAATTGGAAAAATAAAATATTCCACAGCCGAGAGAGAAGAATTAGCTTGGGGAATAAGCCCAGGTGGTGCCCACAGACTCTATGCTTTTTGCATTGAAATAAAGTTAGCACTTTCCTCGCCCTTGCCGTAGGAACTTGCTCCAGAAGCTGTACGCGAGGCAAACAAAGGCGCTGGGGGTCAGTCATCCCGAGAGGGCAATGACAAGGAGCACAGTGCTTCAGAAGGCATTCTCAAGTATGAGTAATAGGAATAATACCATTTACAGAGCACCTGCTGTGCTGGGTGGATGGCAGGGTGAAATGTGGAAAGTATGCCACGGTCACCAGGAAGGAGCATGGGGGATGAAGTCAGACTTGAACTCCGGTCTTGGCGTTGAGGAGCCATGGAGCATGAGCAAATTCTCTGAGCTTCAGTTTCCTCGTCTGTAAAATAGAGACGGTAATAGCTAGCATTTAGTGACTACCTGCTACGGGCCGGGCGTGCCTTAGCACTTAACATCAGTCCTCCCAGCCACCCCATGAGAGTTACCTGCATATTTGAAGTCCGGAAGGTGGGGCACAAGAAGAACCAGGTATCTTGTGCAAGGCCACGTAGGTAGGAAGTGGCAGGGCCAGGATTCAAACCCAGGCTGTCTGGCTCTAGAGCCCGCATGCCAAACACACTGCATTGGGCTCCTCTGACACTTCACAAGACTCTTGGGAAGAGAAAACAGGGAAAGTATGTTAAACGTGCTTAGCTCAGTATCTAGTAGCCCTGTAGGCCTTCACTACTTTGAGGCCGTCATTAGTACTATTATTTTTGTTATTATTTTTGAAAAAAAAATTGTAACTTTTTAATGTTTATTCATTTTGAGAGAGAGAGAGAGCATGAGCAGGGGAGGGGCAGCGAGAGAGGGAGACAGACTCTGAAGCAGTCCCAGGCTCCAAGCTGTCAGCACAGAGCCTGACACCGGGCTTGAATTTGTGAAATGCTGAGACCATGACCTGAGCTGAAGTCAGACGTCCAACCAACTGAGCCACCCAGGCGCCCCTGGTACTATTATTACATTTCGGTGCCCTGGGGATCGGGCTGGACACTGTGCAGAGGACTTCAGGGGGACAAATTCCTTTTATCTGTTTCTATTATGTCTTGGTTTATGGACATTGATGGATGAAATACCTGCCTAAGATCTCCTGAGCTTGTATCAAAAGGAAAATCCACATGGGATCATGTCATAAATGATGAAAAGCATCTCTGCGATCTGTATAATTAGTTGGATGACTTTCTGCCTTTTCCCCTAGGTGGGGCCTCTTATGGCCTGAGGGAAAAGGTAAAGATCGCTTGGGCAGGGGCCACCTGCATCCTGTGACTTGCTGGGGTTGGTTGAGGTACAACGCATTTGCATGTAGTTTCTAGAGACTGCGGAAGGCACTGGGCTTGGAGGCTCTGTTTAGGGGCAGGCCACCTGGGCAAGGCACAAAACCTTGAAGAGCCTCAGTTTCCTCATGTATAAAAAGCTGGTAACACCTGCCTCTTAGGGTTGTTGCTACGGCGTGTTATCAAACATTAAAACATTTTGTGGTCCCCAAAACACCTCGTCCATACAGCTATTGATATGATTGTTGTCTAGTCATAACAAAAATACATTAGATGTGTGTGCAGTTAATCAGTCTCCTGATACATACAACTTAAGTACTCCAGAATTTATTCTTTCTTGTTCTTCTGCCTCTAGGGGGCATCAAGAGCAGAAAGAGCTGAGACCCGTGCTAGGATCCTGGCTTTTATCCTTTCCCTAGAGGGCAGGTTTCTTGTTTTGTTTGTTGTTTTGTTTTGGACTCAAGATGTCACGTTTAATAAAGTTGCCCCAAATGCTAGGGCCCGAGATACCCCATTACCCCATTGCTGAAAAAAATTTGAGAGAGTTCATAGACCAAGGTGTAAGCAGATTTATGAGACTCAGAGGTTTTGTTTTGTTTTGTTTTGTTTTGTTTTGTTTTGTTTTGTTTTTTTGGTCTGTAAAATTGCGAAATTAAGTCTTTTTGCCTATAAAATGTGAAAATTAACAACCACCTTCCAGTATTACTCTGGAGATAAAATAAGGAGTCTGCTCATTGTCACGTATTGATAAATATTTCTCTTCCCCCCAGCAACCTCTTGGGGCCCAGATATACAAAGATAGGGGCTTAATTTAGTTTCATTCAACACGTAGGGACAGATGAACTTAACAGCCTTTACAGGGAAGACAGCTGAAGGTATAGGAGAGACCAAGCAGAGATAAGATCTCTGTTCTTGAAGACTCTATAGCCTAAGGGGAATGTAATTAGACGTAACTCTATGAGAGTAAATTAATAGTTAACCTCAACTGAGTCTCCTTGCCAATCATTCTGCTAAAGACTATAGGCACCATGTCCTTAAATCCCTGAAACGACACTAATCAGTACATGGTGCTCTGTTCCCCATTTTACAGATGAAGAAATCAAGGCTTTCTGGAAACCACAGAGCTACTAAGTGGTTGAGCCTGATTTCAAACTCCGTTCCATGTGACTTAGCACTTGGCTTCTTGGCCACCGTGTTGTTTGAATGGGATTCATGGCATGAAATTGAGATCCAAAAGAGATCGGTAGTGTGGCCAGTGTGTAAGTGGGGGTGGGGGGGTGGGATTTGAACCCAAAGCATCTTGAGCCTGAGCCTTGGCACTTGACCATGCCATAATGCTCTGTGAGTTCTAGCAGCCTCTTGCTTCCATCTAGCATGTCTGTATTTCTTACAAGAGAAAACAGTTTCTTCAAAATTACTGATGGATGTAAAAGTTCAGGGAGGCACATGAACAGGGTTAATGAGAATTCACCTGTCCATTTGGTGGTATTCTGCCCCCTGCAAGGCCATGCAGTGGGAGCGGGGCTAGAATTAGGAAAACCACCTGCCCTGACCTTCAGTGCTGACATCAGTTTCAACAAAGCGAGCCATTCCCTGTGGGAGCCTTGAGCTCCATTGTCGTGATTTCCTTTTCATGGCATCTTCGACTGTTGATTAAAATATTAAGTTTTTATCCACCTCAGTGTCACATCCACCTCTGTCTTTCCTGTACAGTTTGAAGAACATCAGGTCAAGTTTAAAGAGATCAGAGTGCCCAAATTGTACCATGCCCCTTGAGAATCAGTGGCAGCACCTAGGTGAAAGATCCTGCCATGTACCCTGGAGAGAGGAGTCATCTGCTCCTAGCCTCACAGCCCCTGACATGTTAAGACCCCTGCCAGAGCTTAGAGCATAGCAGGAGAGACAGACGTGCAAACAAAATATGATAACTCAGAGTGAGCTCTGAGGGCTATAAGAGCCCAGAAGAGGTGCCTTGAGCCCACACCGGGGGTGAAGGTGGTGGTCAGAGAAGGCTTCCTGGAGAAAGTAACTCTGCATCTGAGTTAACCAGGTGAAGGAACCAAGAAAGCCATCCGTGCCTAAGAAAACAGCATGTGCAAAGCCATGCATAGGAGGCAAGCAGGGGGCAGTTGCATGAGTGGTTTATAATTAGCCTGTTAACCTTAGTACCTTTTTAAAGAGGGGAGTGGAAAGCTGTGGGTGCTGCCCTGGAGTGGCAGGTTCTGGCCAGATGGTGAGGGGTCTTGTCCTGTGGGTAGTGGGGAGCCACTGAAGCTTTATCATGAGGGACTGACAAGATTGTTTTCTTTGAGGAAGCTCACTCCTGCTAACGGATGGCAAATGCATTGAAGGTGGGAGAGCCTGTGGGGTGGGACGCCAGTGTTGGCGATGGTTCCGGGCTCGGTGTCCACTTACAAGACCCGAGCTGGGGTAGTGACAGTGGGAGTGGTGAGGACCTGGTAAAATTTTTACCTCCCTGGTAAAAGAGGGAGGAGGCGGTGGTGATTCCCCGAGGTCTGCTTTGGTGGACTGGGGGGGCAGCTCTGGCAGCAGCTGGTGGTGGTGAGATCAGGAGCTTAGGAGAGGGGGGTAGGATTGGGGGCTCAGAAGCAGGGAGGCATTAGATTCAGCTCTGTATGTATTTTGTTTGAGCCGCAGAGGTGTGACGTGCAGGGAAGAGGTTGAGATTCTTTAAGCTACTGCTTTACCGGGGCGCCTGGGTGGCTCAGTTGGTTGAGTGTCCGACTTTGGCTCGGGTCATGATCTCATGGTTCGTGGGTTCCAGCCCTGTGTTGGGCTCTGTGCTGACAGCTCAGAGCCTGGAGCCTGCTTCGCATTCTGTGTCTCCCTCTCTCTCTGCCCCTCCCCTGCTCATGCTCTGTGTCTCTCTCTCAAAATAAATAATAACATTTTAAAAAATCTGCTGCTTTATTAACAGGGAGCTCCCTCTTTGTGAAGGCGGCCCATTGCAGAGCTTGGCAGGAAGAAGGGTTCCCTTAAGCTGACTGCTGGTGGCTCCAAGTAACTTCTGGCCTTTGTCCTGATTCTTTCTCCTAAAGCCCCACGGAGTACGTTTTCTCCTTCTCCCACCCTTTAGCTGTTTGGAGGCAGCAGTAGCATTCTACACATCCTCTTCTTTTCAGGAAGTCCCCTGAAAGGGGCACGGAAGCCACAAGGAATCAGACCATCAAAGGCTGCAAGGAGCCTCAGGAGATCATCTATAAAAGACAGACAAATTGAGGCCCAGAGAGAGGAAGGGACTTGCTCAAAGTCACAGAGTGAGTTAATGGCAAACCTGGGAACAGTTCTTTAACCTAGGGCTCTCCATAACATCACGTAATTATGTGTTTAATTTCCTAGCTGCGGATTGTGCGGCTTAAGTGACAAAACTTGGACAGCTTATCATAAGGCATCTGGTGTGTTTCCCCAGGGCTCTTAGACACACACCCTTTCTTTAAGCCCTTTCCCCTAACCCGTCTCCTTTTCAGGCTAACAGCATCGGTCCGTTGTCTACACGCACAGGAACACAGTTTCTAAACTCATCACCATTCAAGGAAGCCAGGGAAAACATTACCTCCAGAGACCTGTGGGGAGGATCAGTCTCTGTGATACTGCGATGACCCACAATTCAGGCATCCCTCCTCTGGACCCACGCCAGCTAATCAGTAGCGTGACCATCACCTCCTTCTTTCCTAGTGTTTTACCTCTAGGATTACAACCTACTGCATCTCCATGAGCTTCTCATCTGCTCCAACACACACAGACTCCTGTTGAACTGAATTCCACCCCCGCGTGCATCCACTCGCTCCTATCTTACCTATAAAATATCGTTTCTTATTGATTTGGGACTTGCCCTAACAGCTTGTGGGTCAGACCATTTTTGAAAAGGGTAAGAAGGTGACGGTGGAAGGACAGAAAACTTACCTGACGACCAGAAAGCTTTCCCAGGACAAGTTCTGCCCTGAGGTGGACGCAGCTTTAAGTTGGGGGAAAGCCGTCCACCCAGAAAAAAAAATCTCCCCTGTGGCTGCAGGTGGCCTTTCCCAACCAGCCTGTTCCAATGCTATAGGCAGGGCCTTTCATCCCTCTCTGTGTGGCTGCTTTCAAGCATAAGGCCTATGGAGAGTGACCGTTGCAAAAGGAATGGAAAGCAGGGAAGCAAGAAAGGGTGGGAGGAGAGAAGCACTCTGTTTCTCTTTCTTCCATCTCCTGCCTTCTCTGGTGCCTAATCACACAGCACAGTCCAATATACAGCTAGCTGTGCACATCTTTTGTAAGTAGCTGCTCATTAACAAAGGCCCCAGGCTCATCTGCCAAGAATAATGCAGTCTTGATTTTAGAAAGAGACGGGACTCCCACCACTGCCTCCTCCTGTTTGTCAGTTGGGGAAACCGGAGTTCAGACAGGTGAAGTGCCTCGGCCGAGGTCACAGAGCAATTGGTGGCCGACAGGGACAAGCACGAGAATGAAGTTTGGGCCAGTGTAAGTTGGGAGATAGTTTTTCCAGGTTCGATGGTGGCCCAGCCAAGCTGTTCATACACACTTAGAAAGATGGGTTTCGTGCGTCTGTAAATTACCATGACCCTGGAAATAGAGAGCAATGTTGATGATACCTCTGTCTGACGGACACACTGACTCTCCTCAGCTGTCTAGCCAAGGGCAGCAGGGTGCCCCTCACCCCCGCTCACACTCTAGGAGAACTTTCATTGCTGGATGAGGAACCCCTCATTACATTTATGTCCATTTATGTAAAATGTACATAAAATGTACATTTTAATGAAGCCTGGCAATTCTGGTTCTCTCCTGTAACTACTCTGACATTTGGTCTTAAAAGGCCAGAAGTTGGGGTGAGCCCCCTAAGTATCCTCAATGCTGCCTTCCGACTCCAGGCTCCCAGGTGGACTTTCAGCCGGAACCCCAGCCCTCACAGGTGGGCTCTAGCCTCTCCCTCTGCTCCCTTTCACCATATCTCCACTCTGCATGCCCAGGCCCCCCCACCATCCTGGCTGCCTTGAGGAGCCTGTGTCTCTCAGCCTGCGGGCCTTTGCTCATGCCAGGCCCCCTGGCTCGAATGCCCCGTCCCTCCACTTTATACACCTCCACCCTGTCTCTCCTTACATGCCCAGTTCTTGTTCTTTCTAGAAGCTTCCCCAGACCACTCTACCACCGAACTGCAGTGTCCGTGCCTGAGATGCTGCCCTGCAGAGGATGGGGGGAGGGCGTCACCACATCCCTCTCCTCCAGTCTCCCAGTGCCCTGTCGTGCTAACAACACCTAGCCACACCTCTGTGGAAGCCGTGGGGCAAGGGAGCCCAGGTGCTGCAGGCCTGTGTCGGGGAAGGGCAGAGAGTAGTCTCAGGTGGGAAGGGAGTGGAGCAGGCAGACAAAGAATAATGTCTTTAGTGGCTGTTTACCCATGCTCCCTAGCGAGGACTACACTGAGTGCTGACTGCACTACACGCCCCTCAGGGTCACTGGGTCGCCTGCCCTGCACGCGCCAGGTTTCCTGGCCCCTCCCACCAAATGCCAGCTGTGCTCCCCGGTCATCATCGCAACCCGAAAACACTCCCTTCCAGACACTGCCGGTGGAAAACCACTGCCACCCACGGTGAGGCTTGTGCTCCAGTCCTATTCTGTCTCCGCATCACCACATCTCAACACAAAGCACTTTATTTGTTTAAGTTTATTTATTTATTTTGAGAGAGAGACAGAGTGCAAGCAGGGGAGGGGCAGAGAGAGAGGGAGAGACAGAGAATCCCAAGCAGGCTCTGCACTGTCAGCGACAGAGCCCGATGCAGGGCTCGAACTCACGAGACGTGAGATCACGACCTGAGCCGGAGTCAGACGCTTCACCGACTGAGCCACCCAGGCGCCCCTCAACACAAAGCGCTTTAATAGTCTGAGTGTCCACTCAAAGTTCTGCCCTGACCGCATGAATGAGGAGCATAAACGGCCCCCTGGTGACCTCAGGGTACCCTTTTCTACCCCTCATCAAGAAAACTGGAAGGGGAGCCCTGGGAAAGCTCCTGTCCTCTGTCTCCGCTTCCGTGGACCCTCCCTGCCATGAGTCCATCTGGGGTTCAGGCCAAGTACCATTTCGAATCACTGCACATTGGCCATGACATAGAAAGAGCAGCACAGCAGTGAAAGTGAACGGAAAGCATCCGTTCGGGGAGGGAACGAACGAGCGAAGAAACATGGCAAAAAATTCAGCCACTAGCCTTGTGCTCAAACTGGTGGTTTCATCTGGGGCCTCACAGTCCGTGTTCCTTCTGGGCTAAGGTAATGATCATACTGGTGATCTCTGTCTCTAACCCTTACATAGGACCCTATAGCTTGCAAGGTGCTTTCATATGCCTTTGACAAGTGAAGAAACTAAAATGCAGGCTAAATAGATTGTCTGAGATTATACAGCTTGAAGGAGGCAGAGCTGAGCCTGGAAGTCAGGCCATCAGATCCCGGCTGCCGACTGTGGTGACAAAGAGCTTTCTGGCCTCCCTAAATTGGTCGTGCAGGCCAAGGTTCATTAGCTGAGCTCTCAGCACGGCTACATCACCGTCCCGAGTTAGTGGTGCTCGATGGCATTTTAATGGGAGCCAAATAACTCTTCCTGATGGCATTCGCAGGCAGCTGGAATTTTTGTGTTTTATGGTAATTAAATACCGTCATCTTTCACGTCTGACAATCTTTAGGACCCAATGAACGAGTGCAGTGCACGCCAGGTCGTCGTTCATTCTGGAGCAAGGAGACCTCGGGGCTCCTGACGGCAGGAGCGTGGGCACCGGGCCCGGCACCCTTTCGCAGAGCCACTGCTGGCCTTAGCTCGCAGGGCTGTTGACACGTTCGAATTCCTTGCCTAAGCCAAAGCTCTGGAAGTTCATGCCTTTTTCTCATGAGGGCGCTCTTATGAAAGAATAATGACCCACTCAGCTGGAGTCTCTGGCAGGCAGGCATCCAGCTGTCACCCAGGGCCTTGCTTGTGGTTTCACCCCGCCTGGCTCAAGCCTCCACCTGGCCACTGGACACCTTCCTCAAACACTAGGGAGCACGGTACTCCCTTGCTTAAAGCCCACTGGGGCACCCTGTCACCCTCCCAGTGAAGGCCGAGTTCTTTCATGTGGCACCTGTAGGCATCCGCCATCTGGGCCTGCCTTCGGGGTCTCCTCCCTGCCTGTGGCCGCTGCCCCTCCCAGCCATCACACTGCTTATCCAAGTGCTCCAGGGGGCCTCACTGCCTCTCTCTCAGGCCTCTGAACCCCTCACGTGTGCCCGTTAGACACAGGTCACACGTCATTTCTCCTGAAGCCTCCTCCCCCAGCCCCAGCCGTCCGTCTAGCAGCTGCCTCTGTGCTCCATGGAGCTCCAGCGGCAATGTGGTGAAGGCTAACGAGAATCCTGGGAGCCGCCGCTTGAGGAGGGGCTCACTGTGTGACAGGCATTGACTGACGTAAGCTCTTTACCTGAGTCAACTCACTTCATATGTGTACAGGAGAGTGTTTCACGGCATGGGCCCTGGAGCCAGCCTGCCCGGTTCAAATGGTGGCTGCACCACTCAGTGGTTTTGTAATCTTAGGCAAACTGCTTACTCAGCCTTTCTGTGCCTTAGTTTCCTCCTCTACAAAATGGGGAGTAATAATAGTACCTTCTTTACACGGGCATCGGAAGGATTAAATAAGTCAAACACAGGCCCAGTCGCGTTGCAAGTACTCAATAACTATTAACTGCTGCAGTTTCGTCATGATTGCCATTTTGTGTAGTATCTGAGTGTCTGTGAGCAGCTCAAAGTCAGGGACCATATTTGTTTCATCTCTGGATCTCCGTGGATTCAGTCTGTGGTAGCCCTTCTTCCTTCTCTTCCTCTTCCTTTTATTACTGTTACTATTATAGACTCATTTTACAGATGAGGAGTTAGAGGCTCAGAGAAGTTAAGTGACTTGCCCTCAATCATGCTTGTCAGAGACGGAGCCCAGGCGGAGCCCGCATCTGGAAGACGCCTGACCTCTGTTCTTACACGTTTCTTCAGCAAGCATGTAGACACCAGCTCTTTGCCAAGGCTGGGGCTTATCTTCATCTTAAAACCCTCCAGTCTCTGCACAACAGAGGGCTCTTTAGTGTTGCTGATGGACTTGAACCTGAAGTGCCCTCTGCTTAGGGCAAGGGGTACCTTAGCGTGCACCTGAACCCAGGACAGAGCATCACCTTGATTCGTTCTGACATGCTTATCTGGTGCAGAAAGGGGCCCTTGGAAGTCATGGAGACCCCACTCATCTGACTTTGCTTTGAGGGTCAGGCTGCAGCCATTTTAATCACTTCTGATCTGCATGTTGAGCCACAGGTACCCTCCTTAGACCAGGGCTCCTGGAAGCCAGTGGGTGGTCCAGAATAGGCTCCAGCTGCAATAAAGGCGTACCACATTTCTATCAGATATGTTCTTGCCCTTTTTCTCTCAAGGTTTTTTGCCTTGGAACCCCTGTTGTAAATGCTGGACAGTGATTATCACGGGGATGAGTCAGCACTTTACAATTTATTCATTCAGCATGCCTTTATGGTAACTGTGGAATTAATAGCTACCATTTTTTTTTTCATTACTGTATTCCAGGCACTATGCTAAGCACCTTACATACATTATCTCTTTTACTTCTCGTAACCACCCTATAAGGTGGGTAGTATCTCCAGTTAATGATAAGAAAACTGAAGCTCCAGAGAAATCAAGTAACTTGATCCACGTCGCAGAGCTTATAAGTAGCAAAGCCAAAACTTGAACCCGGGGCTGTTTGACATCAAAGCGTAGTCTCTTCCTATTACCTACTATTTGGAGGAGCACTCTGAAGAAGCCTCATGATGTCTCAGTTCAGGGAGATGCTCCTGTAGGCGTCAATGTTCAGGATTTTTGTGGTATATAAAGTGGGAAGAAAAAAAAAAAAAAGCGTCTGAGGTGTTGGAGGGAACCAGCAACTGCAAATATATCTGAGAACTTGTAGGAAGCAAAAATACTGCCTGGAAAACCAGGCTTGCAAAACTCAGATAAGCAAGTGGCCTTTACTAACAGAGGTGTGCAGTATAACAGTAAAAATGACTCATATCTGGGCTTGATTCAGAGATATACTTGGAGCCTGTATCTGTGAAAAGAGGGTGTAAATTGAAATTTACAGCTCAGCTTTGCAAGTGTACCAATGCTTACTCCCAGGTAGCAGGAGAGAAGCCATTGCTTGCGTGAGCAAGAAGTCCACCTAGCTAATTTGCTGTTCTCTCCCCCACATTCTGTAAATGTTGACTGGGGCTATGGAGATGAGTGGCACGTGGTCCCTTCCCTGTGGGAGTAGCGGAAGCCCAAGTCCTTGGCACTGGAGCCAGGGCCGTTGCTTTTCATCCTCCAGAAAGTGGTGACGTAGGAATGCGTGCACCCTTTCACAGACCAAGGACGAGGGAGGTAAAGTGAGTTACTGGAGGCCACCCAGCCAGTTTGTAGAAACCAGCAGGGAGGCAGGCCTCTCTTGGGCCATCTCTGTCTCATCCACGATTGCATTCCCAACACGCAGTGTACAGGACCTGGCACAGAATAGGCACCCAGTAAATGTTGAATGAACGAACTGGTTCTAAGTTTCTCTGTCTAGATGGGAGTGTACATGAGAGAGGGGGAAGGGGAGAAAAGAAGGACCCTCTCTGCCTGCCGTCTATCCTCCCTCCTGGCCTTAGGAGCAGAAAGGAGACTCCATTCAGACCAGAGGAGACAATGGCTCCTTAGGAAGGTCACGTCTCTTTTGGGGGTTGTGAGTGATCTCCCACTGATAAGTCCCAAAACACAGATCTTCTCCCTTGGGAACCTGGGAAAACTCAAAGTCCCCTTTCCTGGTGGTCTCAGAATGGAAGGGATGAGGGAAGGGAAACAAAGAGCCCAGCCGATGCGCCTGGAACTCTGGCTCCAGGTAAGTCAGTAAAGGGCCACATAGGCCCACGGTCTAGACAGCCCAGGGAGATCTGCTATGATTTTTGGCACACAAATGTCCTCCACACTAGGTTTATGCTCTTGGGTAGACTGCCCAAGCCACTCATGAGAGCCATTTTACTAAATAAGCCTATACTGAGCACCTGGTTGGTTGTAGGGCCTGTGGTCACCAGCACAGAGGGGACAGGGATTTTTATACCTACCAGGAGAGGCAAGATGGGGACATAAGTACCCCAGCTGTAAGGGAGAAGGAAAAGCTGCATGGTCCAGGTTACCTGCTATTAGTGTTCAATCAAGGAAAAAAGAACTTTGGGGAGGGCAGATCAAGGAAGACTTTCTGGAGGAGGTGGAAATTGAGCTGAGCTTCAAAATACAGAGAGGATTTGGACCAGGATATTCCTTATCCTCATAGGAGAATTTCCTTCTAGAAGTTAGGTTTTTAGATATATGACTAGTGGTCTTATACATTAAAATCTCATTGTTTCAGGACTCTTGGCAGTGCTTCTAAAGCCTTATCAAGCCAGAGCTTGGCATCCTGACTTAGTCACAAAGCAGATGTCTGTAGGCATGCAGACCAGCCTGTTCTGACCCAGCCCTCATATGCTTGCTGTCTGAACTGAGGGGTTTTATTCTGCCTATGGCCATGGACTGAGACAGTCGGGCTGGTGTCTGTTATATGCAAAGGCACTGTAGTTTGGTAGACAGAATTCAGGCTTTGGATTAATAAGGACCCCTTTAGTGTGACGCCTGGATGGCCCAATTGGTTGAGTGTCTGACTCTTGCTTTCAGCTTGGGGCATGATCCCAAGGTCGTGGGATCAAGCCCTGTGTTAGGCTCTGTACTGAGTGTGGAGCATGCTTGAGATTCTCTCGCTCTCTCCCTCTGCCCCTCTTCCTCGATTGTGCTGTCTCTAAAATTAAAAGTGGCTGGCTGAGGAGAACTTTTCCTAGGTAAGTGGCTCAGTCGGGTGAGCATCCAACTTCAGCTCAGGTCATGAGCTCATAGTTCGTGAGTTCAAGCCCCACATCAGGCTCACTGCTGTCAGTGCGGAACCCACTTGGGATCTTCTGTCCCCCTCTCTCTCTGCCCCTTGCTTGCTCACGCTCTCTCTCAAAAATAAATAAATATTTAAAAGATTTTTAAAAAAAAGTAAAACAAAATAAAATAAAGGACCCCTTAGTTTTGCAAACCTCAGCTTCCTTGTCCTTAAAATGGGAATGATAATAATACTGCCCTCTAGGGGTTGTTGTGGGCATTAGAAAAGTTAAGGTTTTAAAAGTACACAGTTAAGGGCTAGTGGCAGCAACTATCAATATCCGTTAGGTAAAAATGCCACAAGGAGGTTGACTCCTGGTGGGAGGCCTGGAGCAAGGGCTAGGTCACCCTTCTCTGCTGGCCTCCTGATAAGCCTCAGACATAGTGGTCCAATCCCTCTCACTACTTCGGAGCCATGAGGACTGCAGCCAGCAGCCTGAAAGGCCAAGGGTAGGGGGGACACTCGGCCAACCCAGGAGGGTGCTTCTGCTGCTGGCTTCTGTCTCAGGCTCCAAACGTCTCCATTAAAGTGATGCCTGAGGACGGGTGGACAAATGACCCTGCTATTCTCGCCTTCTCCCTGGTGCAAGGCTGTCTGCTCTCTGCCTGTTTTGCTTCCCATGCTTAATGCCTCCCATTAAGGGGGATTCCTGCTAGCACCGCATGGCACGTCTTCAGAGGGTACGAGGCACATTCCTGGGGACCGTCCTCATCAGAAATGAGGTTTTAGCCACTAGACTGCCGCAGCAGACCTCTTGGCCTCTGGGGGAAAAGTGTGGCAGGAGTCAAGGGTAGAGGGAGGAAGATGATGAGAGGTAGCGTTGGATTCTGCAGGGTGAGTGGGTCACACTCTGAAGGGCTTGCCAGACCCTGTGTGGGCTTTATCTTGAAATCTATTTTTCATCTATAAATCTGGTGATAATAATACTTATTGTTCTGAGTAGTTGAAAGGAGTAAATAAAAGATGTATCTTAATTCCCTTGTCTGTAAAGTGAGGATAAAAATAGTACCTGCTCTTTAGTGGGTCATGAGGATCAGCTGAATTTAAACATGGAGAGGGCTCAGAATAGTGCCTGGCACACAGTAAGTGCTCAGTAACTGTTAATGATGGTTTTTAATAACCCCCAGGTGGTTTTTAATTCAGCTCATTCCCTTTACTCAAAATTCATCCCTCCCCCAGGCTATCACTGACCACTTAGCCTAAAATTTCACCACAGGCCTCACATACCCAGGCCACAGGCCCTTTCCTGGCTTTCTGTGTTCTCAGATTTATCACCACCTTAGTAAACTACATGTTTTCCTTACCTTGTTTGTTTCATTTTCTGTGTACCATTGTATACTTTCTCAACTTCTAGCATCCATTGGAATCAACTGGAGACTTGGTGAAATCAGATTGCTGGGGCCCACCCAAGGGTTCATGATTCAATAAGCCTGGGCCAGGGATCCAGAATTTTCTCTTCTAACAAATTCCCAGGTGATATCGAAGGGGCTGGTCCTGCACCACACTT